TTTATTTTCCTAATCACATTGAGAGTAACTTAATTTTAGTGTTTTTCTTTTCAGTCTTCAAATATATAAGCAAATATGTGTGTTATGAATATACACATGCTCACATATATAGTTTTCAAATAATTTTTATACAAAAGATCTTATACCATTTGTAACCTGCTTTAAAAGAACTCCTAACAGTGTCTTCTGAACATCTCCCCATGTCATTAACCCTTTATCTACATATGATTTTTAACACATACATGGTATTACATTGTATGGATCCGCCATAATTTTTGATACTAATCCCCATTTTTATTCATCTAGATTAGTTTCAACTTTTTGCAGTTAATAATTGATGCTAGGATAAACATCCTAGAAAGCACATTGCTGCCCATATATCCACACATTTGAGGGGTGGTCTTCTTAAGACCACCTAAAGTATGGGGATTATCATAATAATAATAGCTAACATTCATTTAATATGTTGTAAACAAGCAAGTGGCTTCAAACATACTGGTTTCTTTGTCTCTAGATTCCATATTTTTGTACTTGTTTAGCATTTCTTTTTCCTGCTATTTGGAATCCAGATTGTTGGCTTTACAACTTGCTATTGGGGTGACTTTAAGTAAGTTATTACAGCTCTCTGAGTCTCAGTTTCATCATCTATAAACTAGGGATAATAATACCTAACTCACAGGCTTATTGTAAAGATTAAATGAGATGGTACAAGCAAGGAGCTGAATGCTTGGTACACAGAAAGAACTCAGTATTAGCTACTCTTTTATTCATGTGAAAGGGAGTGCTCAACCAGCTTGTCTCAAAAGTTGTCTCTTTTTTTAGTCATAATTTTTATGCTTTAAAATTCTCCACACCTCCATTTTCATTCTTACTGCTTGAGTCTTGTCTTTTTTTTTTCTCCTTAACCTGGATTAGGCTTACCAAAGTTTTTCCAGTTTCCTTGACTTTCCAAAGAATCAGACTTTGGTTGTTATTGGTCAAACTGAGTCTTTAAAAAAAATTCCCTATTGAATTTGAATTTGTTAATCATAATAGAATTTAAATTTATTTAAAAAATAGAGTGATATATAGGAGTGAGTGCATATTTCATCTACAATACTTGGTTTACTTAACCGGGGACCTATGGAGGGGCTTCTGCTCTAATCTTCATATGTTTCTACTTTCTTTGGATTTATTTTGTTTTCTGTTTTAGGTTTTCTGAGCTGAGAGCTTGGTTCATTTGCTTTTATATTTTTGTGTATTCTGTTAAATGCAATGAATTACTTTCTAAATACTGTTTTGGCTGAATCCTATAATTGTAAAGTTGCATATATAGAAAAGCAACTTTACTCACTTGGTAGAAAGGTTTTATTGGTAATTTCCTTCTATTATCATTTACCACTGTAATTTGGCATTGACATTGTTATTGGTTATTTACTAATAGGCCAGGAGAGTGAAAGTAATACTAAAAGTCCCTATGGTCAAGGAGCTTACAATTTCACTGAAAACAAAAGTCAGATGAATTCTGAGTGCTATAAAAGTTTTCACCATAATTTTTTCACTCTCTCTGGCCTACAATTTTAGCTTATCAAACTATAGTTAGCATAAATTTGAAGAAACGCATGAAAGATAGCAGATAGCCATTCATACTCAACTACAGGTTAATAAAATTAGCAATGTCCATGGTGTACATTTATTACCTGGGCTTATTACCTGAACTTTCATTCTTTGTCTGAAAACATTGCTACTAAGAGTTTTGGAAGGCCCTACAAATAATCTACTATTTAGGGCAAGGATTCTTAATCTGGGTCTGTGAACTTTGATGAAAAAGTGTATATATATTACATATAATGAATATATAAGCATATATAATGTATATATAATATATACTTATATGTTAACATATATGTATATTTATATATTTTCACTAAACTGAAATAGAAAATGAGCATTTCTTACATTATCAATGTAGCTAATATAACAACCTATGTCTTTGCCTACAGCAGAAATCACACACACTTACTACCACATAAAAGTTGTTGCACATATCTGAAAATACTATTTATGTGCATTACTACAGCAAAATTTCTGTAGGTTTTAATCTTGCTATAAAATGCATTGATAAAGAATCAAGTATATAACTACTAGTTATCTATGGCTATGTAACAAATTGTACCCCAAATCAGTGGCTTAAAACAATTATTTATCTCACAGTCCCCATGGGACAGGAATCTGGCACGTTGCCAGTATCGACAATACTCCCCCCCCCCAAACAAATGGCTCAAACAGAAGATCAAAACCCTAGAGCCAATACAGCTAAGCGACCAAGAAGTAGCCAACTTATCAGATACACAGTTCAAAGCACTGGTGATCAGGATGCTCACAGAATTGGTTGATTTTGGCTGCAGATTAGATGAAAAAATGAAGGCTACACTAAGTGAAATGAAGCAAAATGCACAAGGAACCAATAGTGATGGGAAGAAAACTGGGACTCAAATCAATGGAATGGACCAGAAGGAAGAAAAAAATGACCAAACAGAAAAGAAGGAAGAAACAAGAATTTTAAAAAATGAGGAGAGGCTTAGGAACCTTCAGGACATCTTGAAACATTCCAACATCCAAATTAGAGGGGTACCAGAAGGGGAAGAGGAAGAGCAACAAGTAGAAAACTTATTTGAACAAATAATAAAGGAGAAATCCCCCAATCTAGCAAAGGAAATAGATTTCTAGGAAGTCCAGGAAGCTCAGAGAGTCCCAAAGAAGGTGGACCCAAGAAGGAACACACCAAGGCACATCATCATTACATTAGCCAAGATTAAAATCAAGGAGAGAATCCTAGAAGCAGCAAGAGATAAGGGGACAGTCACCTACAAAGGAGTTCCCATCAGACTGTCAGCTGATTTCTCAAAAGAGATCTTACAGGCAAGAAGGGGCTGGAAAGAAGTATTCCAAGTCATGAAATCTACATCCAAGATTGCTGTATCCAGCAAAGTTTTCATTTAGAATGGAAGGGCAGATAGAGTGCTTCTCAGATAAGGTCAAGTTCAAGGAGTTCATCATCACCAAGCCCTTATTATATGAAATGTTAAAGGGACTTATCTAAGAAAAAGAAGATAAAAATATGAACAGTAAAAAGACAGCAAACTCACAGTTATTAACAACCACACCTAAAATAAAAACAAACTAAGCAAACAACTAGAACAGGAGCAGAACCACAGAAACGGAGATCACATGGAGGGTGAGCAACAGGGGCATGGGAGGAGAAGAGAGGGGGAAAAGGTACAGAGAATAAGTAGTATAGATGGTAGGTAGAAAATAGACAAGGAGAGGGCAAGGATAGTGTGGGAAATGTAGAATCTAAAGAACTTATGACACATGGACATGAACTAAAGGGGGGGAATGTGAGTGGGAGGGTGTGCAGTGTGAGGGGAATGAAGGGGAGAAATGGGACAACTATAATAGCATAATCAATAAAATATATTAAAAAACCAAAACCAAACAAACAAAAGAACACTATTCTGAAAATAGTTCCATAGATTTCAACAAACTTCCAATAGGACACATGACTCTACATCTATTTCAGTTCAGGCACCTTCAACAACCTCTCCAGAGATTATGTTTATAATGGCCTCAATTTAGAAACTAGAGGTCAAAGTTTAGCCTCCTCCATATTATCCTAATCTGATACCCTGTACTAGTCCATATTAGTCTTGTGCTACGAAAAAAGTATGAGACATTTGAAATCATAAATTTGCTACAGAACACTCCATAAACTGTTCTCAATTCTACCCACTTGAATTAGTATGGACACATACTCACAGGAGAGAAGTGTATAGGTTTCTGTCAAGTGTGTTGGATCACAATTAGACCTTCCTATGGCAACTACTATTTGAGCCTCCAAATGATCAGATGATATAGGTGGAACTGATTTCCCCAAGAATATACTAATTACTACACTAGTGCTTTTTCCTCTACCTAGGTATGTATGGAAAAGCACAGAGTATAAAAAAGAGAGCAGTGATGTCATGGTTCTTCCCTAAATCTTCTGCATGGGTCACCTGGTCTTGGTGAAACTAAGGATAATGGTTGGCATCTCTAAATTATATATGTATTTTTTTGCAAGTATAGTACCAACTTTGTGAATTTTCTTAGTAGCTTAAGAGCAAAGGGTACTTTACAAAACTTCCAATATTCATATTACAGATAAATTTGTCAACGACAACTAGAAACAATTCTTACTTGTTTTGTCCAATAAATTTTCTCCTGAAGCACAAATACATCATCTTCCCAAAGCCATCACCTCTGCGTCATACTACAGAGATTTTCCTCGTAGTTCTCTGATCCTCATGAAAAACTAGCTCAGTATTGTCAGTTATTTTAGATTTTCCAAGATAATGCAGGCAAAAATTTTCATGTTTGCCATCAAATTTTTGTGATTTTTTCCCCCCAAGTCTAAGCCCCTCTCGTCTCTAGAAGTGAACCCTAGTGAAATGGAAAAGGGTCAGGGAGCTAAAGTGGTTTCTAGATCCCACAGACAGTGATTAAAACCAACTTGGTCAGCCACCACCTTTATTGACCGTATTTTCCTAATCTGAAAAATGTGTGCATTTATGGACATTCCTTTCTCAACCCCTATTTCTAACACATTTTGCATTACATTATGAAGTCTTGGAAAAAACTCTGACCACATTCAGGACATGTGACTGGTGTGGTAACACACTGGACCACTCACCAGAGAAGCCTGAGCCAGCTCTGAGCAGAAAAGAGGGAACCGGGGTCGGGCTGCTGAAGCAGACAAGTGGTAACTTTCCTGTCAACCGTTCCAGAGCCACTCAAAAATTCACCAGGCAGAAGTGGGTGGGGCAGGAGGTCGGCATTGACGAAAGAAGGCTACTTCCGGTTGTGGTGCGTATGACGTCAGGGCCGAGACGGACCGGCCCAGCCACCAAGAATCAGAGGAGTGAGGGCTCGCGAGAGTTCAGGGCGGCTGCCCCGAGATTCCGGCGCGGCAGCGGGTCCCACCTCCCCAGGGCGGGGCGAAGGCGGAGCTGGCAGAAGGGAGCGGACGAGCGCCGGGCGGCTGTGGTCCGTGCGGAGGCTGAGCCGGCCGCGGGCGCGACCGGAGGCAGGTGAGTGCGCCGATGCGGTTCTCGGCGGCCAGGGCGGGGAGGGCGGCCGGGCTCGACTCAGCTACCCTAACTCTGCAAGCAGAAGGAAGAGATCTGTGTGTCTTTGGGTGTCCAGGGAAAGCCGGGCTAATTTCGGGGCTCGTAATATCTCTGGTGAAGCTTCGACCACGGCCTTGGCCCTCTTGTTCCCCGGGGTAATACTGGCCCCGTGTGTCTGGAGAGGTAGCCTCGAGCCTGGGGAGGAATCTTTGTTCTTCCTTGCTCCTCTCGCCCTTCCACTCGTCGGCCCTCGAGCGCCCGGCTCCCAGTCCCTGCCTGGGCTTGGTAAACAATAACAAATGTCGTGGATCCTCTCCGGGTATCTCCCGCTCTCCTGTCCCTTGCCCTCTGGCCGATGTCACCGAGGGGCAGGATTCTAGGCATGGCTCTTAAATTGTGGGGGCTATTTGTGCACCATTCCTAAAAACTGATGCGTCAGATTGCTAAACATTTTTCAGACACAGTAAAGCCGCCCAGCTCCCAGAAGCCACGGAGTTCTCAAAATCGGTCCCTACCACTGGAACCCGTCGACCCTTCTTTGGACATCATTTTCTCCCACTTCCTTTTTGCACCTTTACTATTGCGGACAAACGAGTAGTCGTTTGGTATGCTAATAAGAAGGGTTGTCCCCGATTAAGTAGAAGACATTTCACCTTTAGAAAGTTGTCAGGTTGACGGCAGAAGAGCAAACTTTTTTTTTCCAAACCAGTGGCCTCCCGTTTACTGATGCTGCTTTTGTGGATTGCTTTTCGGGTTGTAAGTTTAGAGGAAAGATATAAAAAGAAATGGGGGGGGGGCGGAGTTGAGCTGGTGGTGCTGGAAGTAATGGGGGCTTGTCCAAAAGTGTGGTTCTGTTCTTCGCTTGATAAAATGCAGAACCAACGTTCTCGTCTATTTCACAAAACTTCTGATAAGTTGTGCTAGAAGCCAATTGCTTGGAAAAGGCCTGAGTATTAGCTTTATTGCGGGTAAAATCCGAGGAAACAACTTTAAGTGTTTTAATTTGTGCCCCCTTGTTGTAAGATGGGGATTGACAAGTAAGACCATGCCTTTTGGCGGTTGCGGATGGAGTGGGGGCTTAAACTTGTCAGGTCACTACTTTAAAGGCAGGGTCTGTATTTAAAGCCATTTTACTTATCCAGTGAAGGTTTTTGAAAGTTCATTGTCTCAATCATATATGATTATTTAAGGTAATAGAAATCTCTTTGTGCTTAATTTGCTTTCCTGTGTATACCTCAGGATGTATAAAACAATTAAGTTTATTATACTCTCTATCCAGTAGCTCAGAGGTATTGTATGTGAATTAGCCATTCTTGTGAGTTTCTGAGGGGAGGGAAAGTAGTCTGAAATATGTTGTTAAATTATGATGACTTTTGTTTATTGCATAGGTTCATCCAAGAACGAAAATTCTGTTCTAAAAAGAAGTACAATGAATAAAAATATTTTTGGTTTGTTTTGTTTTAGCCTTTTGCACTTCGTGTTTTTCTCCTTAAGATGGCTGGTAATGTTTCCCATTGGTTGGGATGTGTTTAGAATGAGAAACAAATAGGGTGTACTTTTTGTACTCCTTTGAAAAACCCTGCCATTGGGGAATGAAAAAATTAGAAAAACCACATTAAATGGGTGCAGTTACTCTTTAGTCTTTTGTTTTTATGTTTGTTTTAAAGTTGAGAATCAAATTCAAAGAATCCTAGTTTGAGAGTTAAAACTAAGAATATTTGTGCAAGTAAATAGGTGTCCTTAAATAGGAATATTTTTTATGCTGAGAAATGATTTCAAAAGGTAGCACGTTATAAAAACAAAGGGAAATTATACTTTCTAGAAAATGGTAACAAAGCAACAGACTCAGTTCTGACATTCGTTTTCAGAAATGTTCTGTTGTAAGAGCAACGTCATTGTATTACCAAAGTTGGGTAATACTTTAGAATGTGCTTTCTCAGGTAATCCTGGATAAATTGGAGGGGCGCGTGCATGCAGCTTTTTGTTAAGAAGAAGCGCAAATCAAAGCCAGAAAGATTTACATCTTGACATAAAACTAAAATGATTTTATTTTACGTATATAGTGTAGGGTGAATCAAGCAAGCATACTGCCATCCAGCATCCCCATGATTACATTAAATCAGCAGATGGGCAAAGTTATGATTAGGTTATACTTGACATATGCAGAAATTATGCTACTGTTTTTTATATTAAAAACACCCTGGGCTTTTGGAATGAGATAATGAAAATAAGCTTTTAAAGCATAAGATATTTTAGAAAATAAATTAATCTTAAAAGACATTTTTGATCAGTAGTTTAACAATATTAAGTGAATCATTCTTGCCTCCTCTCCTTCCCCAACCCCCAAATTTTTGTTTGTCTTAAGAGAATACTTATCAAAGTGTGACCAAAAACAAAGCTCCTGTCTCCGGTAAAGGTTTGCTAATTAACCGGATATTACTATTCAGAACCTTTACAGAGAGAAATGAAAGGCATCGATGGATAATATTTGCTGCCCGTTACACTCAGATGTGGTCTCTGTCTTCAAGAGGGAGGGAATCTAATGGGAGAGAATTATATCTAAATAACTAAAATGCACAATGTATTTTGTGGAGAAGTTAAGGAGGGAGGGATTAAATTCTACTAGACCAAATAAAGAAGGCTGTGAGTACGGAAAGGCATTTGTGTAGATGATTTAGATGATATAATCCTATGATAATCATAATAAGCAAACACTTCATATAATGCTACTTGCTTGGTAAACCTTTATATGTATTAATTTACCTGGATTTAAGCCTTGTAACAAGCATATGAAGTAGATATTTGTATTATTCCTATTTTGCAGATGGAGTACCTGAGGTACCAAGGTCAGATAGAAAATGATAGAACAAGGATTGCAACCCAGGCTTTCTGGCTTTTATATCTGTATCCTTGTGCTTAATCATTCTCCTTATTTTTCTCTCCCATTCTTGATGATCATTCTCAGGGCTGTAGTTTCAACTAATTGAATTGGGAAAATACATTTTTCTGGCACTTAAATTTAGGGATCAGTTTTCTAGAAAGAGCTCCAAAATAATGAAAACCCAGGTAAATAAGTTGTTTTTGGCATGTTCGATGTTTAATTGGTTTTTGGAAGTTGCTCTTTGTGCAGATTAAAGATAGCCAGTGAGTGGGACTTTTTGATAAGTTTGACTTAATACCTTGTAGCATACATACAAGGATTTAGAAATAAGAAGTTAAAACTATATTAACTCCTTTGCTTAATGGAATTTTGAATCATATATTTTGGCTTGTATTTTTAAAACTCACTTGGCACTGGGTATGTTTTGGATTGAATTGTGAAGTTGGAATATACTTAATGATCAAATGCCAGTCTAAGCCCTTTTAGTTTTTATTTCCATAAACAGCAATGAATCAGAATTAAGACTTTGAATAGAGTGTTGTATATGTATAAATTGAGAGACATTCAATCACTGATACTTTATATTAGGGCAGCTTGAAAGCTCTTCGGGATTGTGAAATAAAAGGTGCTATAGAAATGCACTATCCCTAGCATCGGCCTACTCAATGAATGCTGCTTTGTCGAATGAATGGTTCAGTTGATTGTATTGATGAAGTTTCAGGAATAGTTCACATTTGTTCTTGGTTATCTAAGTGTTGGCATCACAATAAACTCAAGTGGATTTAAAGATGAGGGGAAAAAAGTGCATCTAAGCCGTGGTAGGGGTCCTGCCCATCCCTACCTGTCTGGCCAGATGTGGACCCTTCAGCTCCTTTGTCAGTGCTCTGTTTGACTCAGTTTTAAGTAGAACTCCAGAGGCACAGTCTGTGAATGAATGTAAGTGCTCTTTCCTGGTCTGAATGGGGTAGTTCTAGAAAACTCCCAGAGTAGGATAATTTAATGGTGGATGAGCTTAAAACCTAATGGGAAAAGTAGCAGAACTAAAGTCAGGATGTAAAGCCCATAATTTATATTATTATAGTAAGATAAAAGTGGCAAATTTACAAATGTTTTTTATACTCAGTTTACATTAATAGGCGACAGGATATTTTTTGCATTTACCATGCTGACAAAATTTTCAAGATCTGAACCCGTAATTTCATGGAGATGTTTATAAGCCAACTATGCTTTATTGTAAGAAAGTTATGTGTTCCTCGAAGTACAGGTTGGGTTTTGAACAGCTATTCTTAGTCAAAAAGAAGCCAGGCATACTCGTTCACCTCCTTGCTGGTAGAACTTGAGGGGTGTCTTTTCCTGTAATACACTAGTTTTGTCTACATTGAAAATCTGCTGAGTCCATCTAAGGAGGCCCCCCACCTTAGATGGTCTCTGCATCAGTTTTTGGGAAGACCTTTATTAAATGTCATATACTGAGCTGACCATTCACATTGGTGTTATGTAAGTTCAAAAAAGTTTGAACTTTGCATCAAACTTTGACAATTTATCTGTAGCTTATGATAGTAGCCCTTATACTGCGCTCAGCTTTTAAATTCTTACGCTCGTTGCTATCCCCTTAATTAACACTAGACCAGTTGACAACCAGAACTGATGTTGATTCTCTGGCTGTTTTCCTTGTCTTTTGCTGCTGCTTATTGATTCCATGTAGGGATTTTTCATGTTACAGTATATAAGTCTCTGATCTCTTATGCACAGGGAGCATCCATTGTTTTCTTACCTTTAACAATTATTTGCTCTCTCTACATCTGATTCAGGAGAGCATTCTGTTCTTCCTAATTTGGAACACTTTTATTGCTTCTACATGTACTTACTGTGATGAAGTTAATAATATTTAACACCACAAAATCAACCACAAACACAACAACTTCCCCAGATTAAAGAATGAGATGGCAGAAACTTGAATGGCTGTACACGATTGCTAATACCATCTATTTTTGGCAAGCAGAGTTGTGCCTGTGCTGTGGGGCCTAGGTTTCATTCTATCTATGCAAATTTGGAAAATTGAAAGTTTGGAAACAGAGAAACTTCTGTATATATCAATAAGCACATTTTTTAATTTTTATTTTAATTTTTTGGTCCTGTTCTCCTTCCATACAGTAATTGCTATTCTGCTTTTATGACTTGGAGATACTGGCTTCGGTTCTCTAGATTCTTCAGCAATCCTGGAGACACAGTAAGTAATTTGGACATTGAATATGAAGAATGCTTTGTGCAATCTGTGTTTCTCAGACTTTGTCTCTCAACAGTTATATGTAAACTTCTCTGTATGTCATCTTCCCCTCTGACATGTTTTTTTAACTGTATTTAACTTTTAATGACTAGAATTTTTTAATAGATTTTATTTATTTATCTTTAGAAGGGAAGGGAAGGAGAGAGGGAGAGAAATATCAATGTATGGTTGCCTCTCATGCGTCCCCTGATGGGAACTGGCCTGCAACCCAGGCATGTACCCTGTCTGGGAATCGAACCACAATCCTTTCATTCGCAGGCCCACGCTCAATCCACTGAGCTACACCAGCCAGGCATGCTTTTGCCTCCTTTTTCTTCCTGAATGTCACCAGTTAGGGTAGAGGTATAATAGTAATTCAGTCAATAACAGTAACCATTTTCTTATCACTTATTATATACCAGACATAGTGCTGAGTACTTTATATTAATATTATCTCATTTAATCCCCACAGCGACCCTATGGGGTATCTATCGGTCCTACTTAAAAATGAGGAAACTGGAACCTAGCCAAGTGAAGTGACCAGAGAGGGTCACATATATAGATAGTAAATAAAAGAGAAATTGATCTCTAACTCTAGATCCAGGTTTGCTTTCTCTTGTATTGCTTTATTTTATTATAAAAACTTCCCCATTGCTTTTAATTTACAACACTTCCTTCTTTTAGTCTTACCTGAGTTACCTCCCCCCCCCTTAGGAGTTATTTACAGTTTTGTCTGTCATACATAAATTCTCTTGGGAAAAATATACAGAAATAATTCAGCTCTATTTAGATTTCCTGTAGAGGAGGATTTGGTCTTGGAGAGAGCTTATTGTAAGAATAATATGAGTAATACCTTATTTGTTTTGTGCTTTAGAGTTTTATAAAGCATTTTTATACATCTTACTTAATTCTAATTGCAAACCTAAACTCAGGTCTTTAGATTAAAACTTGTTACAGGCAGTTTACTAAGGACTCCAGAAAGTTAGTTGATGAGACAGAGTTTTTGCCCTCAGCAATTTTAATGGTGAAATGAATGATATAATCAGACGTTCTGACTTCTTTCAAGCCAATTAGGAGTAGATACATATCTATGGCATGGCATTTTCTTAAAAGGTGTTCTAGTTTTGAGTTTTGAGCTTTGTTTTTAGCCAAAATTGAGAGGTTGGAATTTTAGTGCTGTGTTTTGTGAAATGTTAAAGTCTTCATTAACATTTCATGAAATGTTAAAAGCCTTCAATTCTTGTGATTCAGTGAATGATAGTTAGTCCACCTCATTCTGCACACGACTGTTGCATTTAACTAAAACAATTATCATGAAGGAATGGGGTGGAGAGAGGACAGACAGTTTCGAAAGTGAAATGGAAGAATTGGGGGTCCTAACAGAGACTTGTTGAGGTGTCTTATAGTAGCACTGTTACAGGAAATTGGGTGTAGACTTTAAAGTACATACAAAAGCTGTAAGTATTCACCCCTGGAAAGTTGTATTATGCATATTTGTATTATAAAGAGCTTATTTAATGAGCCATTTCTGAAATATTTCCTTGTGCCAGTGACTTGCTTTAATGAATTTAATTTTTACTAAGCTGTGGGCATTTCGACATAGCTAAGCAGTTGCCCATCAACTCGCCCCCATTATGGAAACACCACATCATGTTTGTCCTTCGTAATTTTTCTGCACTTGTCAGCAGAGGCTGGCTGCCTGGTTTACAGCACAAGGGAGTTACCTTTTGTTGTGTTTTCTCAACAGAGGTCCATTTCATTTGGACACATCTTTCTAATCTGCTTGAAAATATTCTCCATATGCCCACTATCATCTAGCGAAACAGAATAGACTTTTTCCTATTATAGTGACTAGAGTGAAAAAATTTCAGTCTGGAATTGCACGTATTTGATCCACTGGTATTCTTAATACTGGCAAATCCTAGAGGAATCACAGACTCATAATGTTTTAGTGCGGTTAACCATCGTAATTCAGCATTTACCCCTGATTTGTATGGCACTGTGTTAGGTACCATGGCAAAATAGAGACGAATAAAATATATTGCCCTTCCATTTAGAAAGGTTTCATCTAGTAAGAGACATAATCTATGAGTACAAAATCAAGTAGAAAGTGATAAGCGAGTCACAGGGTACTGTGGGAGCAGAGGAGGGAAAGATTGCTTCTGGCCGGAGAGATTAGGAAGGTTTCCTATACGTGAAATACGAATTAACCATTTAAGAGTGAAGGACGTGCCAGGCCAAGGAATTAGCATGACTTGGATATACCTCTATATCACCTGATAAATTATTTACTTATTTACTCAATTATTTACTTCTCTCTCTGCCCTATTGCATTTGAGCTCGTTGAACTTAGAAAACAGGTATTTTTCAGCTTTTCATTCTCTGCATCTTCAACTGCTTGACCTGGCACATTTAATTAAAGTTGTAATTTAGTAAGATTACAGTGGCAGTAGTGTATGTGGAATGGATTCAAGGGAAGAGGGCCCAGAAATGGGAAGACCAGTGAAGAGACTAATTTAAGTAATCTAGGAAATAGGTAATGAAGCTCTAAACTAGGCGGGATTGGAAAGAAGAGACTTGGGTCGATGGGTGTTGGGACTTAGGATTTGTGCCAGGAGATGCAGTGGTGGAAAGACACAGTGCTCCCTCAGAAAGGAGGCAGGCCACACTCACAGGCATAGAAATGACTGCACTAGCATATTGTGGTTATAAGGAAGGAGCAGTGAATGGAGCGCATAAGGGCAAGGAGCACAGGTTTGGGAGGATCAAAGCAGCTTTCCCTGGAGGTGGTAGTGTTTGAGCTTAGACTTGAAGGGTGAGTGGGAGTTTTTCAGGCCAACAAGCAGTAGGAGGACAGGATAGCATACAGATGTAAAGACTGTTTAGGCAGCCACAAGAACCTGTATTATTTTAGTGTTGGGACATGAGGCTAGATAGGATAAACGAACTTGTCTTCATAAAATAACTTTTTTTTTTAATAAAGATTTTATTTATTTATCTTTAGAGGGGAAGGGAAGGAGAGAGGGGGAGAAACATCAATGTACGGTTGCCTTTCGTGCAATCCCCTGCTGGGAACTGGCCTGCAGGGAATCTGCCTGCAACCCCAGTATGTGCCCTGTCTGGGAATCGAACCGTGCTTGTCTGGTTCACAGGCCCATAAAATAACTTTTTATGTGCCACATTAAACATATTTATTTTATCCAGCTTTAGCATCGAGCTTTTTCATTGTTTCTGTTGCCTCTTGCAACCTAGTGGAACACCTGTGCTGTTCCCGTGCCCCCACCTGCAAGTACGCTGCCAGGGATAAATTGTCTCTTGCTTCCTTTTTGTAAAATTAAACAGAGAAGGTAAGGATACCGTTAGCCATAGAGATAAAGAGAGAAAGAAATCCATGAAAACCCCTTTCTTTGATGAATGCGTAGAGCAAGTAGGATTGTATAAAGAGAATGCAGCCCCAAAGCTTAACTTCAAGAGCACTTGACTTGAGGAAAGGGATTGGGATAGGAACATAATTATTTACCTTTCCCATAAAGTTATGGAACCCTTAAAAATTTCCCAGAACTTCCATATCTAGTGCTGGAGTTCTTTAATTTTGATCCTAGCCTTGATTTCTTTTCATCTTCTCTACTTAACCCGCCCTATTTTTTAATAACTAACTTAACGTGACTCTAAACCTCATACGGTACCACACATTGTCTCTAGTTTCCCCTGCCCCATCTTTTTTGGTCATTCAGAAACCCACATCTGCAAGTCATGATTCTGAACTTTGTATGCATGAGCTGTGTTAGGCTGCTGGAGCTGAGAAGAACTCTAGGTTTTTTCTTCACACAGGTTACTTTCCATAGCTGATTATTTTTTCTTTTCTGTAAATTGGGCTACTGAAACAATATAGTTAACTTGTTTTGGGGGGGCAACCAAAAATTAAGACTCCAATTATAATTATATCCAATTTACAGGTTCTGGCACAAATAATGCCCCCTCTTATTACAAAATCTTCTATTACAAAGTCATAGGCATGTAATTCTGTAACATAACAATATCACACTCAAGCACACCATATGACATTTTAGGTGAAATGTTTAAGTTAAAACTATAAGTTATTACGCCTATATTATTACCCTCCCAACCACATTCAGGCAGGCCTTACTTCTGCTGGACCCTGTATTTATAGACTTTGGGTTGGCAGCTGTGTTAGCTTTAGTGCTATTAGTGGTAGTGATAAAAATTTATGGGCACTACAGGAAGAAAAACAAAAGACAAGAACAGAAGAAAAAGAAGGCTTTTGCAGGGTGGTGGGAGAGGCAGGGGGTGGCGGAGGGGGAAGGTGCATATGGTTAAAAGAGGTGGTTTCTCTAACACCTGTTCCAGGTGTCACTTGGGACCAGTGCCCTATTTTAAGGTGAAGTCAAACTGCCAATAATCCTGTCTAGCAATACTTTGCGTGTATTATTATGCCAAAAGTGAGTTGGTTTTAATGAAATATTTTCAGACTTAATAAAAAATGTATATGTACCTTTGTTTCTTTGTCTTTAGAATTGAGCAGAAAGGGCAAGAGAAACCAACACACTGTGAAATATAATGAGTGAAAATTATAGGTACATTTCTGAAACGTAAAGCATTTAAGATTTAAACCCATAAATCATGTATAGTCCTAGTTAGGCCGAAGGAACAGAAAGAGGGCCCACCTGTAGGAAAAATGAGTAGAACGTGAGTTTGGATTAAACTGTATTCTCATACCAACCATATAACTGGGCCGACAGAGGGGAAATTAGGGTGAGAAATTCAATCTAGAGCCTGAGCTTTCTTGTCCAGGTAATCCAGGTACTCTTTCCCTTTCAGAAAACAGCATTATCAAACACTAAGAAACTAATTTTTCAAAATGTTTTTTCACTGGACTAACAAAGCCAGGGAATAAAAATAGGTATGATTTTAGTTTTTCTGAATGATAACAGAAAGTTACTTCT